AGGAAAAAAATGTCAGTCAATTCAACTGAAAAGTGTTTGGATGAACTTAAATATTGGCATGATTTCAGAACTACTTGCAATGTGACAAAACAAACTACCTACATCAGATTTTTTTGATCTAAAATGTCTATTATTCCCTTATGAGAATGAGTGAATGAGATCTAGGACTAGTTCAGGTTTGCAAATGCTCTGGCATTGTGAGGCAAGCGTGGGAAATCTTTAGATGTTCCTGTTCTGAATAGTTTGTTTGACTTTTCATATTGTTGTGAAACTGAAAGATAGGGAAGTACACAATAAAATATATTGTAGCATTGGCTACATGGTCAAACCATTGATACAGATCAACCCAGAGGAAAGTTTTATTACTCAGGAGACATAATAAAGTTCATAGTTAAGTTTCAAGTACAGTAAGTTTTAACTTGGTCTTACAGTGGACATAGAAAAGAATCAGCCCCCTTTAAAATAAGCACATTTTGTTGCTTTGCAGCCTGAAATGAAGACGGACACAGGTTTTGTCTTATCCAGCTGCATTTACTCAGTGCAACTTATAACATCCAAGTGAAACATATAATGCCAACAAAATAAAAAATCACTGTTGGAAAAAGGATCACCCCCCCTCCTAAAAATGACTTGTAAACTCGATCAGGTGTAGCTAATCACACAAAGCCATTTGACTTTCAACTGTGATCAGCGGTGGTCATTTTGATTAGTTCAGCATGAAAAGAGCTTTTACTGGAGCATTTCAGTCCTTGGTAGTGCAACTGAAGCAAACAATCAACTATGGGAGGCAAGACACTGTCACTGTAACTAACACTGCCAGTTGTGGACAGGCACAAGGGCATTGTGAGGCAAGCGTGGGAAATCTTTAGATGTTCCTGTTCTGAATAGTTTGTTTGACTTTTCATATTGTTGTGAAACTGAAAGATAGGGAAGTACACAATAAAATATATTGTAGCATTGGCTACATGGTCAAACCATTGATACAGATCAACCCAGAGGAAAGTTTTATTACTCAGGAGACATAATAAAGTTCATAGTTAAGTTTCAAGTACAGTAAGTTTTAACTTGGTCTTACAGTGGACATAGAAAAGAATCAGCCCCCTTTAAAATAAGCACATTTTGTTGCTTTGCAGCCTGAAATGAAGACGGACACAGGTTTTGTCTTATCCAGCTGCATTTACTCAGTGCAACTTATAACATCCAAGTGAAACATATAATGCCAACAAAATAAAAAATCACTGTTGGAAAAAGGATCACCCCCCCTCCTAAAAATGACTTGTAAACTCGATCAGGTGTAGCTAATCACACAAAGCCATTTGACTTTCAACTGTGATCAGCGGTGGTCATTTTGATTAGTTCAGCATGAAAAGAGCTTTTACTGGAGCATTTCAGTCCTTGGTAGTGCAACTGAAGCAAACAATCAACTATGGGAGGCAAGACACTGTCACTGTAACTAACACTGCCAGTTGTGGACAGGCACAAGTCAGGAGATGGATAATTCAAAGGCTTTATCAATGCCTAGAAGCACAGTGAAGTCTATTATTAAGAAATGGAAGGTATTTGGTACAACACAGACCTCCCTGGATCAGGACGTCGCTCCAAACTGCTAGCAATTAATTACTAGCAATTTGCTAGTAAATTTCACAAATAATTATGAATAAATGGCAAGTAACACTCTGAATTTGAAGTAGAAAGACTGAAATATTATTTTCTTACTATTGTTAGACCTTTTTTTTACCAACAATTATGAATCACGTTAAACCTTTTTACCTAAAATGATCATGCAGCTTTTATTTATTTGGTTGTTTTTTGGAACTTCAAAAATCTATTTGGCTCAGAAATTCAGTTTGAAGGGCCTTGTCTCATCTGCTCGCCTGCCTTCTAGGGTTCAGCTAAAAGTCTTTCATTAGTGTGAGAAAGTTTGCTTCTTTAGTAGAAGGTCAAGAGGCAGCTGTATGTCATACTGTCGAAATGATTTATTTGAAATGGTTTCTTCTTGCTGGCTCTGCTTGACCTAAATAAAATTGAATTCCTTGACCAAAATCAATAAAAAGATGAGATTATAGTTATCTTATGCTGTAGCAAAACATAAATAAAAATGAAAAGTATCGAATTGCCTTATCCATGTCAGAGGGCGCATGTTTGAATAAGCAGCCTTGTCCATCACAACAGTCTGGCAAAGGCTTGCATGGTACCGTGCTTGCAAATCTCAAATCATCTTCATAACCACATTTGATAACAGATGGCATGCGTGCAGAGTTTCATTATTTCTGATTTTCCCATTTTTAACAATGTGGATGAAATGGAGCTATTTTGCGTGTAACCTTTTGGCTCGACACACATAGCAGGTATCAGGAGCACCAGGCGTGCGTACAGGAATTCACCCAGATCAATTATGTTGAGTGCCAAATTAAGCATTGTTCTTTTTTCCATGCACTACATCAGTGGAGTAAACAAATTAATCTTGCCCATGGATATGAATCCCGACAGGACTACTCATACATCAACAAATGAGCAATGGCTGCCTGCAGCAGGATATGGAGTATCCCTTCTGTAAATTAATCCAACTAACCTTAAAAGCATGCTGGATCATATGTTTTTAAGTGTGCTCGGGTGGCATTTCGCTCCCCAGCCCGACGCAGAATATAGGTGAGCAGAATTTCTTTTTGAAAACCAGACTCAATGTACCATTAAAGTTCTATATTAAGATAATAAATGGTGGCACTGATACAGGTGGACTCTTAAGCCTCAGTAAATATCCATCGCAAAATGGTCAGCTACATTAGAAGATTCGTCTGCCATTCTTTAACGCATGATGTTTTATTATGCAAATAAATCAGAGATATTAAACAGATGGGGATAGTCCCGCTGAGAAAAGGCAATTCAAACCTCATTTGTTAATTATGGCACTGCTGGGTTATTGATGCCATTTGGGGTGAGAACTGTCTGTTTTTGGGCAGTGTAAGATAATAAACACAAGTGTCGGGGGTAATGGATTGAAATAAGTATGTGTGTGTGTGTGTTTGTGGACTGTTTTTTTTATTTTTTTTATAGAGAGATTGTGCACATTCTCTCACACTCTCTCTTTTCCATTGACCTTGAAAGGCTGTCAGAGGAATGTGAGTGTTTAATCTGTGAAAGTCTCAGACGTTGCTGGGAGGAATGTTTATTTCAGGCCTTTATTTCTTGAAATAGTACGCAGGGGGCAAACTCAGACAAATGGACATTGAAATGAGAGTGGCACTGAGATATAGAGGTCCTTTGATGTGTTTTATGGCTCAACGGTACATTGTGTTACAACAGAAAGTATAGGCAAAGTGTTTTATTGTCTAAAAATCCCTTGCCCGACGCAGAATATAGGTGAGCAGAATTTCTTTTTGAAAACCAGACTCAATGTACCATTAAAGTTCTATATTAAGATAATAAACGGTGGCACTGATACAGGTGGACTCTTAAGCCTCAGTAAATATCCATCGCAAAATGGTCAGCTACATTAGAAGATTCGTCTGCCATTCTTTAACGCATGATGTTTTATTATGCAAATAAATCAGAGATATTAAACAGATGGGGATAGTCCCGCTGAGAAAAGGCAATTCAAACCTCATTTGTTAATTATGGCACTGCTGGGTTATTGATGCCATTTGGGGTGAGAACTGTCTGTTTTTGGGCAGTGTAAGATAATAAACACAAGTGTCGGGGGTAATGGATTGAAATAAGTATGTGTGTGTGTGTGTTTGTGGACTGTGTTTTTTTAATTTTTTTTTATAGAGAGATTGTGCACATTCTCTCACACTCTCTCTTTTCCATTGACCTTGAAAGGCTGTCAGGGGAATGTGAGTGTTTAATCTGTGAAAGTCTCAGACGTTGCTGGGAGGAATGTTTATTTCAGGCCTTTATTTCTTGAAATAGTACGCAGGGGGCAAACTCAGACAAATGGACATTGAAATGAGAGTGGCACTGAGATATAGAGGTCCTTTCATGTGTTTTATGGCTCAACGGTACATTGTGTTACAACAGAAAGTATAGGCAAAGTGTTTTATTGTCTAAAAATCCCTTTTATGGAAATTATTTCTATATTGTATGCAAGCTGGTAGATGTTGTCAATAATGCCTGGTATTATTTTTGTGGAATTGTCTTAATTTTCTTTAAAATAAAATAAATTTTGACTTTTTCATTATATATCTATATATGTTCTATGTTTAGATCTTTTGAAAGGCTGTCAGGGGAATGTGAGTGTTTAATCTGTGAAAGTCTCAGACGTTGCTGGGAGGAATGTTTATTTCAGGCCTTTATTTCTTGAAATAGTACGCAGGGGGCAAACTCAGACAAATGGACATTGAAATGAGAGTGGCACTGAGATATAGAGGTCCTTTGATGTGTTTTATGGCTCAACGGTACATTGTGTTACAACAGAAAGTATAGGCAAAGTGTTTTATTGTCTAAAAATCCCTTTTATGGAAATTATTTCTATATTGTATGCAAGCTGGTAGATGTTGTCAATAATGCCTGGTATTATTTTTGTGGAATTGTCTTCATTTTCTTTAAAATAAAATAAATTTTTACTTTTTCATTATATATCTATATATGTTCTATATTTAGATCTTTTAATATTTATAAATATATATTACATTAGAAGATTTTTTATCTTCAAATATAGATTGTGATTAACTGCAATTTAATTTGATTAATTAAGCAGCATGTATTTCATATATAATATTTGATTTTTATTATATATTTAAAATATTTTTAATAAATACAATTTTAGTATGATATAATTATCATGCTATATATATATATATATATAAATCTTATATAATCTTATATATAAGATAATACATATACAAGATTTGTAAAATCTTTTTTCAAATATAGATTGTGATTAATTGCAATTTCATTTAGATTTTATTACATTCGATTTTTTTTATTAGAATTTTTGATGATTATTTTGTGTCCAAAACATTAAACATTAAAGTCCATAAGTATGTTTCTTTCTGTAACAGATCTTCAGAAGATGCTGGCTTGTATTCAAGAAGGCGTCCAGTAAAGGACCACGGCGATTAGAGAAATATCCAGATGAAAAAGCCGCTTACTTCAGAAGCTTTCACAAGGTAATAGAAATTTCCATGCTTAATTTTAAATTTCTCCATGTTTTATTCAATTTATCCTGATTAATAACTTAATTTTGATCACGCTTATAAATCAGTAAATTAAGAGGCACATTGGGTCCATTCTGTTTAACATGCATCCTCGGGTCATTCCAGGCTCAAAGATAGCTCTATTCATTACCTGCGTAATTTATTTGCACAGCACCCCTCATGAGAAGTTCCTCTGACAGCAAGATCTCTGGCTCAAGGGTTCACGCCTTGAAAGAAACTCGGAGTCTAATTATTTAGTTAGCAGGGGTCGTCTGTGTTCCAGAGCGAGCGCTGTGTGATACTTTTGGAGCTGACAGTAGCTCAGGTTAAAGGTGTAAACGTGAGCACATGTCTGTTTATTTGTGTTGTGGCAGATGATAATATGATGTGCTCTCTGTGGAGTGTTGGTCAGAGGCTTGTTTCTGACATTGGCATCGCTCCAATGAATTTGAAAGTGACTGCGATAAAGGATCTGATCAGATGGTCAGATGGACAGTCTTTAGTTTCAGATGATTTTCCTTCAGAAAACATTCTAATTTGATGATTTGATGCTCAAGAAACATGTCAGCAGATAAACATCAAGTTTTCATTTTTGGGTGAACTATCCCTTTAACATTTTGTGGAAATCATGATACATTCATTTCAGGAATCTTTGATGCATAAACATTTCAAAAGACCATTGTTTTTATTTTAAATTGAAATCTTTTGTAACATCTTTTTTTTAATCATTTTAATGAATTCTTAAAATAGTATTTAAAATAGTAATTCCTTAAAAAATCGTACTGTTTTAACTATATATGAGCAATATCACACAAGTAGTCTTGAGTAAATAACACGAGTAATCACAGTGTGCTGATATACAGCCATATTGCACGAGTGTGATATTGCGTTTATTCAACAGTTTGAAAACACAAGTGTGTAAATAAAAAAGTGACAACAACGGAGTGTCTTTAAAAACCCTCTTTTGTGCGGAACTACTTCCTTCCTCCATCACTAATTCTAAAACGTCACTTCTTCACCATATTTCATGAGAACTGTGACTTGCTTAATAATGTGGAACAACCTCTTTAAGTAGGGTTTCCATTTACCTAAGAAGACCTGGCAAACTATTGAACAAACCTGTCTGAGATTGATACCAGTTACCTGAAATGATGTGAAAATCAAAACAAACAAAAACCTGACTGTTTATTGTACCGAAATCCTATTGATATGTCACTTGCATAATAATTTGGAACACAGTGTATGTATATAAACCCCTCTGGTTTATGCATCCCTGCCTCTTCTGAAATATTTTTATCCTCGGTGGGGATAAAAAACATCCCGCAAAACATTCACGTGCTTTGAAGTCCTGTTCTGAATCAAATGATTCGCGATTCGTGCTTTGAAGTCCTGATCTGAATCAAATGATTCGCGATACGTGATCCGATTGGAGCGCTTCGCAACAGTGAATCATTTTGCGACTCAATGGTTTAACTGTTCACGATACGCGCTTTGAAGTCCCGAATCAAATGATTTGCGATACGCGATCCGATTGGAGCGCTTCGAAACTCAATGGTTTAACTGATTTAGAGTTTCAAAAAGCTCCGTTGATACTGTGTTCTTTGCTCGCTTTCTCTATATAATTTATTCGTTGCTTGAATAACCGTGGAAATTAAATAATTACAATTAATAGGCCTAACTTACAATGTTTTAATAGATTGTGATCTCGTTATACAGTTTCCGTCATATTAAAAACATTTCATGACATGACACCCATTATATGGTAGGCTACTTGCCTAAAAAGACGCGTTTATGATGTGCGTTATTAACAGATTACACTAACATTAGGTTACTAGAAAATATGGTTAACACCCGGTCATGCATGAAAAAAACATACCGTCTTGTACCGTGAAACCGTTATAATTTTGAAAAATACCGTGATATAAATTTTTGGTCATACCGCCCAGCACTACCATAGCCTTACCTTTAGCCTACCTTCCACCGATAAAAAAAGTTTTTAAATGCACCCCACCCCCCCCTGCTTTTTTCACAAATCGCACCCTGCATATACATATAGATAGATATATGTGTGTGTATACATATATCACACTCGAATATCATTTGATACCACACACTATATTACATATACACACTTATTGTGTACATACGTGTTTTAACATTGTACTTCTCAATAGGTAATATATATGAAGAGTTTAGGATAGGTTTTAGGAAAAATATGTAAAAACATGTATGTACACAATAAGTGTGTTGTATCAAATGATTAATTTAAATTTAAGTACATCTTGCAATAAATTTAAGTACATCTTGCAATATCAGAATTAGGTTTATAACATCTACTGCTGAATTAAAATCCATTAAAGGGCATTTTGATATTGCACCAGGAACCAGACCCTCTTATAGTGTGAATAATTTCAGGCTTTACTTCCCTTTCCTGTCCTTAAGCCCTTCGAAAATATCCAATTAGGGCTCATTATCAGGCTGATGATCTTACGCGCCGAACATGCAGAACATTCTAGAATAATGAGCACAGATGCGGCTGTAGATTAGGGCCGTGACACCGTGGTTTGATGTCGCTGCATTGTGAGAACATGCCTTTATCAGCTGTAACAAGCCTTCTAATAAGATTACTCATTAGAGATCAGGAGATGAGTGAATGTGGTACAAAGCAACAGCCTGGATTATCAGCATGTCTGATGAAGACGCTGTAACAGACAGACTATATTACACAGACTCTGATGTAGGTGCAACTCTCTGTGTGCTCTGATGTCTCTGCACTTGTTTGGATTTTTTTGCTTATGAAGTTTTGATTTTGAGTTACAATGGGTAGGCTGATTTTCACATTAAACTTGAGCTTTTTGTACACTTGACACATACATCACAGTTGTTTACAGTTGTTATTGTCATTTTAACTTTTATTTGGAGACAACTGAATCTAGTATTATTACTCTGTGACAGCTGCTATTTCAGAATTGTGCTTTTTGATAAGCTGTCCAGCACTATTTTAGTAGCTGGTGACAAAACTGCCTGGGTATTGATAATAATTTAAAAATTAAGAGATTAATAAATCAGATGCAATCAGATGATTTTTGTACTTTAAAGCAATACATTCTGTATTTAAAAAAATGGATTTGATGAATATCTGCAGCTAGTGCACAACACTTTTAGACAAAACTTATTTTAACAAAATGTGTGTAGTGTTTAGTTGTGAGATTCATGTTTGATTTAATACTCACTTTATTGGAAGACTATGTAGATATCAATATGAAAATATGGAAAGCTTGAAAATTTGGGTCAGCTTAATAGCATCACTTAACAGTGTTATGTAATATTTTTAATTGCCTTTTCTTTTTATATTTTCAGTTTTCATTTTACTTTTAGTTTAAGTTGTAGTAATTTTGTTATGTGTTTTTGTATTTGTTTTCAATTTTCTATTTATCTTAATTAATTTTAATTTCAGTTTTAGTTTTTGCAATTTTAGTACTTCAACAAAAATTTGAAATGTTGCCTGGAATGAATAAGTTTAAGTTTTATAAGCTTATAATATAATATAATATAACATAATATAATAATATATTTTTTCAGCTTAATTTCAATTACTGAAAACAATTTTTTATGTTTTTTGTTAACAATAAAAACACTGTTCTTTTAGACTGTACATTGCTAGTCTCAGCTTCAGACGTCATGCCATGAGTCTGTCGTCATGGACTGACTTCCTGGCTAGAATAAACTGCAGTATGGGCCAGACCGTTTGATGTCTGGTCAAAGGTCTGGCTATGCACATTGCTGACAGCTGAGAAGTTTTCAGAAGATGCTTCCTCACACCCATCAATGCGTCATCCATTCACTGAGACACACCCGAGCTGGAGAAGTTCTTTCAAAGCCTTGAGCAAAGTCTTCATCAGATTCATAATCCTTGAACCCACACTCAGCACAACACAAACACATTCAAAGGCAAACACCTCCTCCCTGTTGCCACAGGCAAATCATAAATCTCAAACCAAGAAAAGCCATCGGCAAGACTGAGAGGTGAGGTGTAGTATCTCCTGTTTCAACTGCATTTTAACTATTTTAACAGAGCTCGAAGAAGTGTTGGTAAACTTTGTGCAACATTGTGTGAGTCTAGAATATGAAGTGAAATGTACCTGAAGAGCCCTTTAAATATAGACTGGGCTTATTTTTATACTGTCAGAAGGCAGGTTGCTTTTCTCTGAGGTAATGTTTGTCATGGCTGTGGAAACATTTTAAATCATGGATGACATTTTCTTGTTATTCATATCCCTTCCAGCTTAATTTATTAAAGCACATGTAATCACAAAACTATATCAACATTCATTCATTCTGATTGCAGTATGGTGATGGCTTGGTCATATCTCTAATTATCCCATTAACTTCCTTAGTTTAGTATACTGGATGAAATTATTTGCTAGGAAATCTGGAAAAAAAATGTTTATATGACTTTTTTCCCCCTCTAGATCAGTGGTTCTCAACCTTTTTAACTTCAGAACCCCTATTATTCACAACAATATTCTAAGGTCACATGACTTGTACCGTTTTTATTTTGTTTTTGTGATTTACTGGATAAGGATTTTGAAAAATATTTTTTACTTTCTACCTGATAAATTATTTTAGAGCTTGGCTAGAAAAACTAGCTAAAATGTATAATCATTAAAAATATACACATGGAGATTTGATTAATTTACATGAGTTTTCCAAGTTTAGAAATCACACTTTTAAAATTAGGATTCCTCAAATATCCAGATTTTTCAAGGTTCTTTCTGAAAGAATCTTGATTTTTAGTTGTTTTGGCTCATTTTATTGTTTTGTCTTATTTTAAATAATTTTAAGTCATCTTGAGGCCCCCTTGGAGGTTTCTGGATCCCTGGTTGATCCAGAACGTACAAAAAATATTATGAATATTAACATTTATTTATAGTTTCCAGTGCCCTGCTGTTTTTTAGTGTTTGTCATTAGTGTGACAATAGAGACAGCCAGCGTTAACTCTCATCTCCATTTCTCCCAAAAGCCAGGCACTGCAGTAATTTCAAATCATTTCATTTTCAGATAACAGTAACTACATTACCTCAATGTCATCCTCCTTCCTTTGTTTCCCCCTCCTCTTGAGTTTGTTAATTTTGGTAATGAATTTTGTCGTCTTCTTCCACAGATTACTGAGCTCCACAACATTAAGAACGTTACTCGAATGCCACGAGAGACCAAGAAACACGCAGTGGCAATTATTTTCTGCGATGAGACGTCAAAGACATTTGCCTGTGAGTCAGGTAAGCACTGTCTCCAACTCTGAGAATAGTCTTTGTTGTAGTGCTGGAGTGTATCCAGAATGGCTTAATTTATTCTATATTTCAAGATGTGCAAGTATTGATTTTCACATATCAGGAAAATTTGTTTATTCTTTGATTTATTCCTTTTATACCTTGAAACTAAAGAAGTCGCGGAAATGTTTTGGTTATTAAGGCTAGTAAGTGTTAGAAGAGCCCATTGGGATGCACAGAATATATATATTTTTAAATTGTGTCATAGATTGTGTCATAGAGAATGAATACAGCCAAAGGCAACAGGCGGATCAGCAGTTAGAAAACAAAACAACAAGAGAAAGGCTTAACAACACACGTTTGAAATATGAATGAGATACTTTACTCAACATTAGCTTGGCAGCAGAAGGCGTCTTTTCCCATGTGTTTTCTCTCCTCTCACACTGAGAATCTTGTAGTGGAAAGATGGCAGTGTCAAAACTGATCAAAGCATTTTCGCAGGGAAAAAAAAACTACACCCAGAATACAAACATGAATAAGCACTACCTTGGTTTGTGAAACAGTTGCAGTTTTAGGTAGGCATTAATATTCATTATCCGGGCCAAATAAAGCATGATTAACCCTAATTTGGGGTCAGATTTAAAAAAAATTTTATTTAAAGAAATTGATACTTCTATGCAGCAAGAACCCATTCAATTGATCAAAAGTGTAAGGAAAGAAGTTATATATGTTACAGAAGATTTCTATTTCAAATACAGTAAATGCTCCTCTTTTGAAAAAAATGTATCACGAGTTCCACAAAAACATTAAGCAGCACGACTGCTTTTAGCTTTGATAATAAGAAATGTTTCCTGAGCACCAAATCAGCATATTGTGATATCTGAAGGATCGTGTGTCCCTGAAGAAAATATGTTGAAATAGAAAAGAGTAATTAAAAATTGTAATAATATTTCACAATATTACTGTTTTTACGGCATTTTTGATCAAATTAATGCAGCCTTGGTGAGCATAAGAGTTTTAGAGTTTTAATTCTTATCAGACCCCAAACTTTTGTGTAGCTCTTATGGTATTCAAAATACACTTGGATATGTATGTATGAATGAATAAACGTAAATTATAAATATGCTTCATCTGCTTTTGTGCATAATATTTCAGACCAAGAACCTGCATCTAGTTTAACATGGCACTAACTGCACAGATAAAATGCTGAATCATGAGTATTACTAGGGAACTTAGTATTATTCGTGAAGTTAAGTCATTCACATCAGCATAAAAAACACCTCCATTTTATGTAAATAGCCTTTTTATATTTATAATTTATAAAGAGCTGAATTTGCAAAGCTCAGCACTGTTGAATGGAATCACTTTGAAAAAGAGACATTTGTATACATTTTCTAGTGATGATAGCATGCAGTTATTTATATCATGGAACTAATACGAAAGTGTATAATCAAAATTAGTTTAGTGAATTGGTTGCTAAAACAAGTCCAATAACAGCAGGTTTAATTAATTTTTAGTGATTTCCATCCACAATAATGTGTGCAAAAAATGATCACAAACACATTATTACAACTCTTTTGACCAGAAGAAACGGTAAACTCATCTTTATAGCGCTGAATTTGTCCTTTGCCTTCAAATTTCCTGTCAAGCTAAATTCCCAGGTAGGAAACTAAAGGAGAGAGAGTGGGAGGAAAGGGGAAGAGATGGAGAGGGAAGGAGAGGCAGTGGAGTGGATGCGCACGGGGGGAGTGGCACGGTGGACCCGCTGGGATATCATTAGCACCTCTGGGGTCTTCCGCACTGCCAGGGGGAGGCAAGGAATGTTCTCCTGAATCCATTTACCACAATAACCTCCCCACCCCCAGCTCTCCTTCACTCCCTTCAGAGGCAGAATATTAATGGGAAACGGGTAGAGCGGGCATAGGGCATAAATGAAGAGCTGTGCGAGATAGGGCCATACACTAAGGGTTTAAAAAGTATATGTGCCTTAGGCTGTTTAGATGAAGAAGTCTTAGGCAGTGTTTGTGACACCTTCAAAGACTTTTCTTTGCTGGTTTGTTGGTAATGTGTCCTGCTGCATTAGATCACCTTGTTGTCCTTGTGGGAATAAATCACCTTTGAGTTAGTGTAGGCCTCAGGCGAGTGTGTGTGTGTGTGTGTGGTCAACTCTGCTTGTGGCTCTTTTAATTTTGGCACAGGTACATGTCCATGAGCCGCCCCCTCTCGAACTTCCCCTTTCTCACAAACTCCGGCCATATGGAGCTTGTGTCCCTCACATGTCCGCCACATGTAGGAACCCGACCTCCCTTGATCCTTTACTTCCACTTCCTCACCTCCCTCTGAGTCTGTCGGGTTACGGCTGTGCCGCTCTGACCCTTTTCTTCTCTCACGCGCTCTCTCTCTCTCTCTCTGTCGTACAATCATCATGTCTGACTATGAGGGCTGCGACTTGCAACTGATTTAAATCTGATTTATCTAAGATTTCACATTTTGCTCAATGCTTCAAGCAATTTGCAAATTCAATTTAATAATTAATATTTAATAACATAATTTTACATTTTGCACCAAAAAATTACGAGCCTTAAAATAATATAAAATATAAAAATAAATATGATAATATGCTTTTTAAAAGTTTGAGGTAGGTACAATAACAAATAAAAAATAAACTTTTATTCAGCAAGGATGCATTAAATTGATCAAAAGTGACGGTAACGACTTCTACATTGTTACAAAATATTTTTATTTCAAATAAATGCTGTTCCTTTGAACTTTATATTCATCAAAGAATCTTGAAAATTGTACAGGTGCATCTCAATAGATTAGAATGTCATGGAAAAGTTCATTTATTTCAGTAATTCAACTCAAATTGTGAAACTCGTATATTAAATAAATTCAATGCACACAGACTGAAGTAGTTTAAGTCTTTGGTTATTTTAATTGTGATGATTTTGGCTCACATTTAACAAAAACCCACCAATTCACTATCTCAACAAATTAGAATACTTCATAAGACCAATAAAAAAAAAACATTTTTAGTGAATTGTTGGCCTTCTGGAAAGTATGTTCATTTACTGTATATGTACTCAATACTTGGTAGGGGCTCCTCTTGCTTTAATTACTGCCTCAATTCGGCGTGGCATGGAGGTGATCAGTTTGTGGCACTGCTGAGGTGGTATGGAAGCCCAGGTTTCTTTGACAGTGGCCTTCAGCTCATCTGCATTTTTTGGTCTCTTGTTTCTCATTTTCCTCTTGACAATACTCAATTTACTCATAGATTCTCTATGGGGTTCAGGTCTGGTGAGTTTGTTGAATTACTGAAATAAATGAACTTTTCCATGACATTCTAATTTATTGAGATGCACCTGTACAATTTTCAAGATTGTTTGATGAATATAAAGTTCAAAGGAACAGCATTTATTTGAAATAAAAATATTTTGTAACAATGTAGAAGTCGTTACCGTCACTTTTGATAAATTTAATGCATCCTTGCTGAATAAAAGTTTATTTTTTATTTGTTATTACTGAAATAAATGAACTTTTCCATGACATTCAAATTTATTGAGATGCACCTGTATATCATGGTTTCCACAAAAAAAAAATATTATGCAGCACAACTGTTTCCAACATTGATTCAGCTTTCCTATCACAGTAATAAATTACATTTTAGAATGTATTACAATAGAAAATGGTTATTTTAAATTGTATTAATATTTGACAATAATAATATTTTATTGTAGTTTTGATCAAATAAATGCTGCCTTGGTGAGTATAAGAAACATCTTTCAAAACATAAAATAAAAAAAACCTTACTGACCTCAAACTTTTGAATGGTAGTGTAGATTTTTTTAAATAAATATCAAATATATTTTCATTTCAATATAATGTCAAGGTCATAAATTTGGTTTTCAAAACAAAACAAATAAATAATTCATTGTAAAATAAGACATTTTGGATAAAAACGTCTGGCAAATGCATAAATGTAAATGTTCATTTAAAACTTAAATTTGATGTTTGAATCTTGCTTTGATCTAAATAAAAGCTCTATTATGTACTTGAGCTTGCTTGCTTTTAGGATGCTCTGTTTTGCCAAATGAAAATACTTGCCTTTGAAAAATAAAGCAGTAAACTGTAATTAAATTCGTTTTTGTTCCCTTTCATGTAAATGCATTTTTCGCTGTTATTTAAAGTGGTGTCACTGATGTGGTCCTCTAAGCGGGGCGCACAGACCCTACAAATCAATAATGAAATTAATTGTCGAGTATTTCCATTAGCGATTTGTTGCAGCCCTAATCAGCCCTTTCATCCATTCTGACCCATTTTCTTTCTCCTAACTATTTATCATTTACTGTAGTTCTTCTCATTTCCTGTGCTCTGAGTGAACCATTAACCATGTGAAGATGATCTTTGTGTTTGTGCACATAGCTGCCTGAGCACTTGAGAGTTTTCCATGCTGATGAAGTATTTGTTTATCCAATTTTCCACTCAGTGGGCCCAAAAGTGTGTGCAAATTTAGACACACTTAAAGGTCACCGTCTCAGGAGAGAGGCCATGCAAAAAAAAAACAACTAAAAAATCAGCAAAAAGCTTGTATAGGAATATGTGCACAATGATTTGTTTGTGTTTAATAAGTTTGATAAAGATAATCCAAGGCATTATATATTTTTTTCTCTAGCTTTTGGATCTGTGTGCATGATTTACACAGTATTATAGTGAAATTATTTGATAAGTGTCTATTGTACTATTCAAAAAAATTCATTTGGCACTAGTAAATGCACATAGATTTTTTTTTTCTGATTGAATATTTTGAATGGTGCCTGCTCACATTACTCAAGCAGGCAAAATTAAAATGTCGACAGGCATACAGTACCCATTTTAAGCTTCAATTACAGCTGAAATATACTTAGGGCAACATCAAGCAGACAGCCATTGTTATTCAAACAAGCTCCACTGAAAATGCAAACTTGACGAGGCCACGAATCAGCTAACAACTACTTGGCACGTAATTAGACAAATCTAATCTCATAATGTTGAGCTTTCAAACCCATGTCACAAGCAGAAGCAGTGTGGATGGAGCTCATTTTGTGGTTGGCATAGTCATAATTTGTGCTCACTTTCCTTTGTGTCATTGTGCTAAACTGCATGAGGTGCTTCAGAGTGGATGTTCATTCATTAGAATGATGCTGTCCAGAGTGTGCTGTAGATTAGTCCGGAGCTTTTGAAGAATGGCGTAAGAATGGAGTGCCAAGAAAAATCAAGCTCAACTCCTACAGAATGCTATTTGTGTTATTTTGTGTGCACACAGGGGCCAAAATAACTATTGCTACACCTGCTAATGATGTGCAAACTGAGAAAATGTGCCGCCCATTTGTACTTTTTATTACTGTCTATTAAACTCTGCATTATTTATATTTATGAAACTGTGAGTATATAACAATAACTGTATGTAAAATATCACATCAGATCATACAGTATGTACTGTACTATACATATATCATATATACTATAACTATTTATAAATATAATTACATGCATTATAATTTATGTAATTTATATTATTTATTATTTAAATATCATTTATAATATTCATATCATTTATTTATGATAAATATTTAAAGGGGTCATATGATGCGATTTAAATTTTTCCTTTCTCTTTGGAGTGTTACAAGCTCTTGGTGCATAAATAAGATCTGTAAAGCTGCAAAGACTAAAGTCTCAAATCCAAAGAGATATTCTTTATAAAAGTTAAGAGTCAGCATGGAGGACTGTTTACTGATCCTGGGAGAGTAGACTACAATGCCAGCTGTTCTGACTCAAAGACTGTAAGTACTTTTTTTATATTTAAAGAGTTTTTATATTTTATATATTTAAAACTAGTTTTTTTGGCAGTGTAGAGTAGGGCTTGTTGTTTGTCATTTCTCCGATCACAAATGCAAACATGGTTTTAGGTTTATGCGGCGCGATGCAACGCAACGCGTAAAAAGACAGTATAAGTCCATAAGTCCATAATCCATAATTATGTCCCCACTGGATGCAACGAATGTCAGAAGCAAGATTAACTAAGCAGTAAGTAGTAGCAAATTTAGGACAAAGGTGGTTACTTATTAGATATTTGATAATTACTAAAAAAATATATTTTCATTGAGAACTACTTGGGAACTATGACCAATTAATAAAGAATAACTAACTGGTCATAGTTCACATGTAGTTCTCAATGAGGATATTTTTATTTAATAATTATCAAATATCTAATAAGGAACTACCTTTGTCCTAAATTTGCTACTACTTACTGCTTAGTTAATCTTGCTTCTCTATTAGTTAATAGTATTAAGTTAAGTGTTAATGTAGTACTACCTATTACTTTCTGCATAGTTACTTGCTAACAACGGATCATTATTCTAAAGTGTTACCCATTTCATTACACATTACTTTCTGCATAGTTACTTGCTAACAACGGATCATTATTCTAAAGTGTTACCCATTTCATTACACAAAATACACAAAATAATGTTATTTTTAGCAGCATCATATGACCCCTTTAAAATAAAGTGTGTTTATTTAATAAATATCCATGCTATTCTAAGTTTTGTCATTTAATCTCAGTCTAAACTATTTTGAGGTTAATTGATCTAATTTTGTGTCTCTGAACAAATAGTGATCTATGACATTGTAATATGTTGAATATCAAAGTTTTATGTTTCTGTATTTAGGGGTTTGTGGACACATTAATGCTTTTATATTGGTGGAGTAAAAATTATAGTTTTATTCTGAGGTGAAAATATAAAGTTAAACCATTGGGGTAAGATGACCACCAGAATTGTCACAGAAGACCCCAAGTGGCATGTTGTTACTAGTGTTATTATGTTTAATTTTAATACTTATTTCAGTTCATAGGGCTATTATTCAGTAATTCCAATAATTACTTTACAGACATCTTCGTTAATTAATTAAAACCTATAGGCTAATTGAGTGAAGTCATTTAATTTGAATTCAGTATTGCAATTATGGTATATCTTTAATTATAATATAGATGATTAAATATGTAAATATTCAGTTATTCATATGCCTGTATTATAAGTCAAATAATAAATTTACATTTCAGATGAATCTCTTTTACTGGGATTCTGCTTTGTCTGTCTGCTTTGTCTTTGGTTATTCAATTACTCAACTAAATTGTCAAAAATAAAAAATAAAAATTTAATAGAATAATTGATTTAGTATTTTACATAGGTGACACTGTAAAATATATATATAAATATTATTAAAATTAATATCAAAAGTCACTTTGTAAAAGTACATTTTGTAAAAGTTTAGCCAGGGGGCTTCTTGCCCCAGGTAGGGGGCCATCGTACCCCAGTAGCTTCTTTGAATAATTTAACATTTTACGTTATGATTTAATGATCTAATTCAGCAAATCTTTCTGTTTATTTCCCATAATAACATATTGTTGGTGCATCGTCATCCTGCTCTTGCTAAGCTTATATCTAAATAGGTTACAATTTAAAAATAAATGCACATTGTTCTTAAGCGGAGCATCGTCCCCTTATAGTGTACATCTTACCCCATATAGTGTGAGTGTAATAAATAGTAAAGTTCACCTAAAATAAAAATTCTGTCATTGTTTCCTCTCATGCTGTTGCAAACCTGTATGGCTTTCTTTCTTCCATTGTTGCACTTCCTAAAAATGGTCAGTAATTCTGTTTTTGTTAGTTGGCAGCCAGGTTTTACACACATTTTGCACTTGGCGAGTATTTTTAGACACTGTGTCCACACCTATGAACTTGACTGTCTATCTGCCTGTCTGTCTGTCACTTCTACATGTCTGTCTGTCCATCACTACACTCCTTTGTGCCAGACTACTGGCTGCTTTAGTTTTAAAGCAGAAATCTCTTGTAACGGTAAACATCTCATATTTTCAGAAAGGCTGAGGTGGTCGATGACTAGAAAAATAACGTTCATCATAAACCTAGTGCTCACAAATGGCTTGTTGCTGTGCATTAGTGCTAAATCTGTAAATGTGTTTATCTCCTGCTTGTTCCCTGTTTGCTGCCATCTCTTCAGCAGCTGCTCCTGCATGTTTGCATATAAAAATGATGATATGGATGTGTGTGTCCACAGAGCTGGAGGCTGAGGAGTGGTGGAAGTTATTGTGTTTGGAGTGTCTGGGCAGCAGACTTAATGACATCAGCCTGGGAGAACCGGACTTGTTAGCAGCAGGGGTGCAGAGGGAACAGAACGGTCAGTATCCAATTAGAGCCCGGATTTTTCCATGATTTTTCCTCTTGTACTCCCTAAATAATTCTATTACAGAGTCCAAACGTGTTTGTTAAACACAGTCCCTCCAGGTCTGTTCTCATGTTTATAAATGATCGGCTCGGGCCAAGGTTCTTTACTAAGCGCTAATGGGTACCGCCGTGCATCAGAGCATCAGCTCTTAATGAAGCTTGTCATAGAGATGGATGAGATTATGGCGCAGAAGAAAAGCAGGATGAATGCGCATGGCACATCTGCAAGAAAACGCTTTAGCTAATGCAATCCGTTTCCTTCTAGAGGTCTGCACTGCCTTCAAACTGAAGCCCGAGACCAGGCCCGTACCTGAGATCGTTTGACCCGATTCCGACCCGACCCGAGTGGCACTGTTAAATTTAGAGCCCGATCCCAACCCAAAGACATTTTTTCACAACGAATAGCCAAACTTTTTAAATATGCTGTATTTCACGATTGCATGCAACAGTCAATAAACAAATACATGTAAAGAAACCGTTTCATCAAGGCTAGTGGCCAGTCCAACACACAAGGCAAAAGAAAAAAGCACTTACCAATCATGAGCATGCGCCGTTTGCCGTATTGTAACAGAGGCCGCTAGAGCAGGCACAAGAGCAAAACAAGTTTCGGTTTTAAATAAAGCCTATAGAGCAAACGGCACACACACATTATATGTAAGATAATATAAACCACAGCTTGTATGTGCCTTAAAAAATTTTAAAGCATGACTTGGAGGCAAAGGGTAAAAATTAAGGTCATTTTCATCAGTTACGGCTCGTTCTAGCATTCTGCCGCTTTAAATCAGACACAGAGATGAAGTAATGTGGTTATACCACGTTTATTTGAATGAATGATTTATATAATTTATTTAAAATAATTATCCAGAGAGAGAGTGATGAAAGTTGCGTGAGTGAATTACCTGTGTCTGCGCGTCTCTCTCTCTACAAACAATAAAGCTGAGTTTAGTTACTTTAAAAACAGTGATTTTTACCCCTTGTTGCTGAGAAATATAATGTAGCGATTCAGTATCGAAGCTATTTTATTAACAACAACAACATTTATTTATAAAGCATATTTAAACACAATGTAAATTGATCCAAAGTGCTGTACAGTGATCAAACAAATCTACTAATAAAAACAACAACTACACACATACAAAGGCTAAAGAGTAAAAATAAGATTTAAGTCTAGACTTAAAAATGTCCAGAGAGGGAGCAGATCTCACATGATAGGGGAGACCATTCCAAAGCTTGGGGCCAACCACAGAAAAAGCCCGATCACCCTTTGATTTGTACCGACACCGTGGTACAGTTAAAAGCAAGTGACTCGAAGATCTAAGTGCCCTAGCAGGACAATATGGCACAAGAAGTTCAGAGATATAACTTGGTGCACAACCAGACAATGCCTTATAATCAAACAGAAGAATTTTAAAATTAACCCTGAATTTAACGGGAAGACAATGAAGGGATGATAAAACAGGAGAAATGTGATCCCTCTTTTTTGACCCAGCCAAAAGTCTTGCCACAGCATTTTGAACAGCTTGCAATCGTGACACTGAAGATTGAGGAAGACCAGAATAAAGAGAGTTACAATAATCCAATCGAGATGTAACAAGTGCATGAATCACAACTTCCATATCCTTCCTTGAAAGAAGATGCTTCAACTTTGCAATAGATCTCAAATGGAAAAAACTTGCTCTAATAACAGCACTAATTTGTTTATCAAAAAATAGAGAGGAGTCAAAAATCACTCCAAGGTTTTTGATTTGTTTGCGTACAGTAGTTGAAAGTGGACCTAACTGAGCTTCCAAAGCAAGAGACGAGTGTGCAGGACAACCTAATATTAAAACCTCGGTTTTATCCTCATTTAACTGCAGGAAATTATTAGACATCCATGTCTTAATATCATGTACACATTTCAATAATACATCAAATGAAACAGCAGAATCAAGCCTTACTGGTAGATAAAACTGAGAATCATCCGCGTAACAATGATATGAAATACTGTATTTTTGAAAAATGTGGGCCAAGGGAAGCGTATAAAGGGAAAACAGTAAAGGTCCCAAAATGGATCCCTGGGGCACTCCACACAAGACAGGTGCAGAGGATGAGAAAAAATTTCCTACATTTACAGAAAAAGTCCTGTTCTCGAGATACGAGGCAAACCACTTTAATGTAGTGCCTCAAATACCTACCACACATTCAAGTCGACCAAGAAGAATGCTATGATCAATGGTGTCAAATGCCGCGCTCAGGTCCAACAATACCAACACAACACAAGCACCTGAATCCAGAGAAAGCAGCATGTCATTTGTAACTCTCAATAGAGCTGACTCAGTACTGTGTAATGATCTAAAACCAGATTGAAACTTATCTAAAACACTAAAAGAATCCAAAAAAGACTGAAGTTGTAAAAACACTACTTTCTCCAAAAGTTTGCTGATAAAAGGCAACTTAGAAATTGGCCAATAGTTACAGCACATTGCTGGGTCAAGCTGAGGTTTTTTTTTCAGCAGAGGTTGCACAACTGCATGTTTAAAACTGGCTGTAACAACACCTTTGGCTAAAGAGCTGTTCACTATAGCTGTTACAATAGGACTAATAGTAGGAAAAACATCCTTAAAAAGACGTGCAGGAATAATATCTAACTTAGAACCAGAACACTTCACAGTAGAGACAATATCATCTAGCTGATGTGATAAACAGGTTGAAAGGAAGACAAACAACTTGTGGTACAAGGCAACTGCAAATGAAGTGGTTCAGAAGGAGCAATGGAGGTTCTGATAGCATCAATTTTTTTAGTAAAATAGTTTAAAAAATCCTCACAAAGCTCCGAGGAGGACTCAGATAATAAATTCATAGTTGGGTTTAAAAGAGAATCAATCATATTAAACAAAGCTTTTGGTCTATTCACATTATCAGCAATTAACTGAGAGAAATAACTAGATTTTGCATGTTTTACTGCTATTTGATAATTAGAGAGACTTAACTTTAAGATATCAAAGGAAACATGTAGCTTATCTTTTTTCCACTTTCGCTCTGCTTTCCGACACTCTTGTCTAAGAGCGTGGGTGGTTTCATTTAACCATGGCTGGCCAACACCCTTTACCCTTTTATGCTTAAGCGGAGCAACAGTGTCCAAAGATGTAGAACAAGCTTTATAAAATCAGTTTCGTTAAGGATATTACTGGTAACATGTAAAGAATAATGTCCAGAAAACAAATTTGCAGTGTTAGAATTAATAACTCTAGAC